TGAAAGCATCGGAAGTCCATCAATATTAAGAAAAATGCATTCCTTCAATTAACTAAAATGCAAGATGGAGCAATATTTTGGGTATAGAAAAGCAAAAATAATGAAAAATGAAAGATTGAAATACTACCCACTTTGTAAAGACAAGATAGCTACAGTAGAACACATTCTAATATCTTGTATTTATCATAATAAATCCAAAATGAGGAAACATGACAATATATGCATTATCATATTGATTAATAAGAAAATATACATTAAATAATCAATATAAAAAACCCCATATGAAATAGTGTTCAAATATAAAGACATCACAATGATATGGAACAAACAAATATTGCCTAAAAGTGAATGACAATATCACAAAATACCAGACATATACGTATTAGATAAAAAGAATCAAACTAGTCTATTATTTGATATGACTATTGTGGCTGATCACAATATTAATGGAGACTATTGGAAGAAAAGAAATAAGTATAAAGAAATAAAGAATATGCTAATGAAAATAGAAAAGTTAAAAGATGTCAAAATAATTCCAGTAATAATCTCAATCAATGGATTAATGAATAAAGAAAGTAATAAATTAATTAAAGAATTAAAGATTGAGATTGACGTCATTAAAGAAATTAAAAACCATGTAATTAAAAACATGATTGATGTCATGGAATACTGCGGAGATCACAACCAAACATACTCCGTAGAGCTCTACAAGAAGAAGACTCATTGACGGGATTAGTCTCCCCTGAGCCAGGAAGAATAGAAGCTAGTTCTATTAATACTTATTTAATTCCCTTTTTTATTTTTTGTTAGTACATAAGAAAAAAAAAAGAGATGAAAAGTTCAAGAAAAAAGTCAAATAAAAAATAAAAAAAGAGAAACCCTTGAAAAATTTCCAATTTTTTTACAGAAAAAATGAGAAAAAAAGAGATAAGAAGATTCTATGACATGTAACCCTTCAAATTTAACAATTAGAAACAGAACTAAGAAAATCATTCAACGGTATTATGAAATACCAACAATTTATTGTTATTACAGGAGGTGTTGGAGTAGGAAAGTCTACACTTATTCATAATTTAAAAAGAAGTCTTCCTAAAAAAGAACGAATCTTTATTAAAGAATATATTGATTTTAAACCAAGTACAGGAAAGAAAATGCTTGAAGAAACATTAAAAGGAAAAGGGTCTATGTATGAACTTCAATTATTTATTATTGATTGTTTCAAAGAACAATTAGAAAGAGCTAAACAAATGAAATATGTTATTATGGAAAGAAGTCCAATTGATTCAATTTTCATATTTTCTAATGAGGCATATTTCCAAGGAAGAATGACAACAGAAGAATATAATGACCTTAAAGTTAGAGTTGATGACCTTTATACTACATATGGTATTCCAAGATTTAATGAAATGATTATTAATCGAATAGACAGTTGTAAATATACTATTAACGGTATATTTGAATATGTCAAATATCAGAGTCAAGAATACTGGAAA